ACATTTTTGTTTATTAAGTTTAGTTAAAAACTTATATCTTTATTCACAGTTATATATTTCAACACTGAAATCAACTACTCTGGTATCAACTTACTCACTGTCTGTACAGATATTATAAATTTTATTAAAAATTATAAATTTTGAAATTGGAGTTAGTCATTCTATCAACTGAAAGGCTCATATATCATCAAGAAGGACACAAATATGTCTGAACTATCGGGTGTGTATAAAGTCTCATTTGGTATAAATATTTTAAATACATCATTTTTATTTTTTTATTATTATTGTTATTATTATTTCTATTGGTTTATAGAGCTAGAAGATCTTTGGCGACCTGAACTAGGCTTCTTTCCCCGCCCCTCCCTCTCTTGGGCTATAACTTTCGAGTTATCTACTTCTAGCTCTCCACGTTTGTTGATTCGATCTATCCACCTGGTTTTTGGCCTCCAAGGTGGTATCTTGCCAACAACTGGAGCATTCATTGTTGGCATTCTGATGGATTGCATAGAACTTGTCCTGCCCATCTTAACCTTTTGCATTACCTCGCATATTGAAGAAATATAGATGGGTTCTGTTGGAAACGAATTTCCATTGTTTATAATTTATTTATTGAATTTACCTCAACCCGATAGGGGTACTGGCAATCCTTTTTTATACTCTAATGTAAAATCCCGATATTTTCAAGAAATTCAACAGAGTCTCCACATCTTCTTCTGTGACGATTCCGAAAGAAAGTACTACCTTAAGAAAATATTTCCCCACGGTACAATTTTAGTTACAAGCGAAATGGATCCTCCTGGACTATTGGGTTTCACAATTTCTTACGAGGAATTGGAGTTTTAGAACAACATGGTCTCGGACAGGATATAGATCCCCAATACCCCGTTTGCGGTGTTCCGGAGACTGTTGAACAAGTGGTCGCGGTCTGCACTGCTTTCGAAGGATTAAGACCCACGTTGATGAAAACCACGGAAATCAAGTCCTCACCGAGGAGTTTCCTTTATTGGTGAGTGAGTTCAATGACTTCATAAATGGCTGAAAGACGGCAATGGGTCCAGATCACTTCAACCTCAGGAGAAGAAGACCAATGCAAGGAAGATCTCTGACTTCTGAAAGCCAGGCTTAATAATCTGAAGTATATAAAAGTAAAAGCAAAGCTGTGCGCACAGATGTGAATTCCGTATACTGTCATCATTGCAGTAGTGTGATATGCAACAATGCTTAATATCACACTACCGCATACGTTCGTATTACCATAGCGGCATGGAAGTGTGGAAATAAATAAATAACATCTTCTTTTGTATCCTGTAAAATTTCATGGATAGTTTGGTATATGTTAAAGCTCTTCCTTATGATCGCATAATGTATACAGTACACGAGTAGGTGATTAATTGTTCCATGGGAGCCACATCTGACGCAGGTAGGTGGTTCTCAATCGTGGAGTAGGTATCCTTGCGAAATTCGCAATAACCGATTCTGAGACGCCGTAGGATTATTTCCTCTCTTCTTGATCTCCTAGTACTCGTACATCATTTATCACTGTTTAGTTTTACTTGAACTAGTTTATGCCATATAGTCATTCCATCGAGCTAATGTCTGGGATTTCGCTTGCCTCACCCAGTCCTCTGAAGGAATATAATGGATTTTATCTCATTAATATCATTTGTTAAAGCCATTCGAGATGCGATTTCTGCTTGTTCATTCACCAAAAGAAGAAATGGAGCCTAAATAAAATATGTTACAATCCCTGACCTTTACAGTCCCAAATAAGTTTTAAAATTTGCAAAATTATTATCTTTGAACGGATATTAATAATTTTATAAATAAATTCTTAAATTAATTATTGTAGCGGTAAATATGTATCAAACTAATATAACAATACACGTTTTATAATGATGAAACAATATTCAAAGAGTGACGTAGGTGGTGGCTCTATATGGATGCTCCCGTCATGGACCAATCAACTTCGTAATCCTCTAACATTCCACATTGGATATAGACTAATTAAATTTCCAATTTAACGTTTATTGTTTTATGCATATCGGGAAAACAAGAAACATCAGAATACCGAACTAACTATATTGGAGTGGATTATAAATATACAATAATTGAAATTGAACAATTATTTGAAAATAAATAACTTAGAAAAACATAATAAATCAGTAGTTTAAGGACTAGAAAAATGAAATAACACTAAAACGATGAATATCAAGGATTGAAAGTAAAAGACAAATTGGAAATGAAAAATATATTATTCAATTGAATTATGTATCTAACTAGTATTTCTCAATTTCGAATTGCTAATTTGATAAAAATATATTTAAAATAATAAAGTCTGTACATAAATCAAAGCTGCCATTATCCATTCGGTAAATGAAATAAAATATTCTATACGAGGAGAACAGTCGTATTACGTATGTTTAAATTATAATTTTTTTTTCATATAAAACTTTCTTGTATCGATATAATAAATTCTGGAACAAAAATTAATTTTAAAAAAACAAAACCCTACACCACGATCTTAATATTCCATTCGTCCTTAAAAAAAAATCTTAAAAGCTCGTCAGAACTTTACGTATAATCCAAATACCATCACTAAATCCCTATCTAGTAACACCTAACCTTGCAATCCTCCTTGAAGGTTGAAACGGCAGTGGCCCCGCGATCTTTTGTAATGAGTATGTATTGGAGTCCTGACAATGCACAGTTGACCAAAACGCTAAAATCGGGACAAAATACCAATTTTCAAATATTTTATTTTCTCAAAAAGTTTTATATCTTCTTGAAGAAGGATAGCTAGGTACATCGAAAGTACAAAGAATGATTATTATTTTAAAAATGTTTCTCAAGACGAAATTTAATTCCGAAGTTGGTGTCATTGGGAGAGTAAATTTGAATGAAATGTGATAACGATTTCTATTTAATTATAGCTCAAAGAAAATATCAGCGCAGAATACTTACTGTGACCCCAATGTGTAATTTATTTTTGCACTAACACTAATACTCGATCACAGTAAAATGGTTTTAAAAAATCGTTCTTTTAGAGTTATTTCTACATAATTTTGTTTTTACTTAATTAATGAATATCTAATTTTGGACCCAGAAGTTACCGTCCATTTCAGTCTCATATTGTCACTGGGACAGTAATAAACATGTTCAGAGACAATTTAACCTCAACCACATTTTCGGCACATTTTTTTTTTTAACTTAATTGCTAAGAAAACTCTGATATGAGCATTTCAGAACTTAATTACGGTCATTAATTGATTAAAAATTCTTTTTTCATTGAGTTTCATAAAAGTATTCCTTTTTGATGCAACGTTCATATGGATTAAGAAGAAATACCTATGAGCCTGGGAACCCCAGACTAGAACATTTCCACATTGTATTTCAAGATAAATTTAAATACATTTTATAACAGATGAATGAGTTAAATGAGGACAGTTAAAGGTTAATATTAAAAACGAAAACAAATTATCTCTCCCTACATAAAAAAACCGTTGCGATACTGAAGTTGGTTTGGCCTTGGGATGTTTTCACGACCTGTTTTTTAATTCCGAAACTAGGCGACCATGGCGAAGAGAAATACATGTTTTGATACTCGACGTGCGAATAAAAATAAACAAGCAAGATGCTATTCAGAAAGGTTGATGGAAGTGGCTACCGTAGGTTAGTTGGAATAGACAAAACCAGTTTTCGCTCCAGAGCTCCAGGGCTCACCAAGGTTATTCAGTTCAGGCAACAGACCAGTCTGACTGGAATTAAATGAGGAAATCCAGTCCCTCTCTGCGTTCTATACAGGATTTTTTTTTTAATTGAAGTACTTTATAAGGAAATGTCTTATCCCACTGATAAATGGATTACACAAAATTATATTGATGTATTGCATTTTTCCTATAAGGATTATTTCCATACGGCTTCGATACATTTTGCAATGCATAGACTATAGGTGGCAGATCTTTTCATCATCAGATGCTTAAGGTTAGGCAGTGATAATGGAGAACGCAAATTATATTTTATATTTTACTGTTGCTATTTTTATTAATATGTAAATGAACATCCATATGCAAGTATTAAACTTAATTCTATTGATTTTACAATTTTCGTAACCTAAGTAATTAAAATATTTGGAGGCAGCAGCTAAGTTAGGTGAGGCGGGCAATATGGGGCCTAGAGGCAGTATTCTCCACCTGTAGAATAGATCTCGATTATTATTTACGAATACAATATTGGAATCCCAACTCAGAAAAAGTATTGAGTAAGTAAATACTTGTGTACAAGTATAAATTGATATTACATAATTATTTTTTCCCATCTTAAATGCTTTTGTAAATTTCATTTTATTTTATATTGGCTAGGACACCACCTGGACAAACGTCTAACTTGGAATCCACATAACAGACTGAAACGACAAGAAACCGCTCGACATTTCCCACTACTTCAGCATTTACTAGACTTCCAATTAATTAAAAAAGACTCATATACATGACCATAATAAGACCTATTTGGACTTACGGAGTTCAGCTTTGGGGCTCCACTAAACCATCGAATTCCTCTCGTATTCAATCCTTACAATCCAAAATCCTTCGTAAAACCATCAATGCTTCCTACATTGTTACAAATAAAATCATCCATAATTACCTTAATGTTCCTCATGTTTTCACGTCATTATATACATGTGAACAAATTTACTAGACGAATTACTCGAATACAGTAGTAAATATCATAAATATATAAAAAATAAAAAAACAATTATATTGAAGATAAGTTTATAATTTTAAGTTAATTTAAGAGAAAAAAAATGTGACCACTATGATCAATTACTTTAAACGAGCATGATTGAAGAAAAATTTAATCGCCGAAATAATGGTGTGTACGCACACACCTCTAAAGAAGCCCAGGAAGTCATTAGAAGAGTGAAAAAATGTCATCATCCTTCCTAAGTGATGGTTTGGTGGGGAGTTTGCTTTGATGGCATCACAAAGCTCCATTTTTGAAAAATGATCAGGACGATATTTTGGAATCTGTTGGAACCTGTGAAGCCTCTAAATGATACTCTGTTTGCTGGAAGTAATTGGATTTTCCAGGAGGATTCCGCTCCAGCTAACAAGGCCAGGTCAACTCAGCAGAGGTTGCAAAAGAATATTCCAGAGTTCATCTCTGCATGGGATTGGCCCTAAGGAAGCCCTGATCTCAACCCACTAGATTATCGGCTTTGCTCCGAACTGGAGAAGATGGATGCCACAGAGCACACCCTAACTTGGGAAGCCTCAAACAATCTCTGGTCCGAGCAGTTGAGCGCTTTCCTCAAGGAGTGCTGCGTGCTGCTATTGATGGCTGGCCACGGAGATTAAATGCCTGTGTCAAGGCAAAAGGGGGACATTTTGAGTAATTTATTTTTTGTTTTACTCTCTATAGATATACATTTTATTTTCTAATAAAAATTTTGAAAAAAATAATTTTTCTGTTGAAATCTGTATACATTTCCTTGTGACAATATTTATGACATGACTAGGTACGTATAATAATGTTTTCTAAATATACTCATTATTCTTATTATAATTACAGTAACTTAATCGTTATAATAAGATTTTATTTTGAAAATTTTAAAAAATAAACATTAAATCACTTCATGAATTGACTAGAAAGAGTTTTTCACTGAGCAAGTATTTGAAAAAAGAGCGGTAGCTAAGAATAATGGGATTGACTTACTCACGAAATGTAAAGTACTGAGCGGTGATTCATACGATACGATTTCCGCCCTACTTTTGTCATTCTTTAATATTGTTTTATTAATGACGAGTCATGAAAAAGATCTGACTCATTTTTATGATTTATCATTCTTTCCTTCCCTGCCATGCCTGACCTATGTAAACGTTTTCACCCAATAGGATGGGATAAATTAACCCTCTTGAAAGAAACTGAATAGCTGTTTAAATGTAATGTATTATCGTCCGTAAATACATTAACAATGATTTAAATCTGGCTATTTAACTACATACTTGGATTCTCGGTATTCTTGTAAGTTATAATGGTATTTTTTAAAAAAAATCTTATTATATGGAACATAAAAAATTATAATAATATCCAATAAATATCTTAAAATGAAAAAAATTTAGAAAAGCTTTTCAAATCGCAAAAAAAATCAAGTATAAATAAATCGGGGAAAGTAAGTAGGAAAAGAGCCATTATCGAATACAGATCATTAATGTATCACACACGTGATGCTGCAATATTAAATAGGATTTCAATTAAGTATTTATCCAGCGATAAACTATTGAAAGATGCCTGACGAAAAGATACTGTAGCTTGCTTCCAGCTTGTAAAAAATTCAAGGTACAGCAGGTTCGACTTCGACGGTAATTGGAAGGCAGCCATAAATTTATAAAAAATTACCTCCTTAAAGTCCTGTATTGCTTCTTTAATCAATTCATTTCGTCGTGTATTTCTTATAAAAATCATGGAATACACCACAAAGGATGATGTGTGAGTTTAATACCGATTAAATATATGATATTATTGGTATTAATTAATAATTAATTGTAGCTATAGATGACGACAATTTTTTTTCAACTTAATTTATTCATCCAACCCAATAAAAGTACTGATAATTAGTGAGTCTGTTGTCGGAAAGAATACTGGTAGAAGCATCGATCGGCTTGAGGGAGAGCACTGCCCAGCGGCATCCCTTCCTATCTTGATTTAATACCTTATTATTATTATATTAGCAATTATATCCCTCATCCAGCTTCTTTTGAATTTTAAAATTAAAATGGATACATAAACATGTTTGGGAGCGCGGTAGCTCAGTGGGTGAGCACTGACTTCCAGAGCTCTAAGTCCCAAATTCGACTGATGACCAGTAATTTTTCATCAGCCATAGGTCGGCCCTAAGGCCGGGAGACCCTCCTGGGGCAAAGCCAGCCTCTATAAAGTGGGTAATCTTAAGTAAATGATTGATTAATGGGGAAAATCTGGCGGTTGAGCGTGATATTGGCCCGTCATTTCCCTTCCACAACCAATGGCCTTGTAACAGTACTTCCTCACATTGTACTGAACCCATAACGCTTCATGAGTTGTTAGTATACAGGTTTTGTTTTTCTTTTTTATAAACATGGCTTAAATATGAAATATAAAGATCCTCTTTCAGCCTTATATAAAAATATAAAAAGCCTCTTTCAGCATTGTGTAATTTAAATGTAGATGATCATAGAGTCCCACGCCCACGGAATAAGCTAAAATAAAAATAGCAAAAATGATAAAGAAAAATTTATGTTGATCCTTTCTAGATTGATTTCAGGATTATTCGTTACTTAAGATCCCCCATTCCAATTATTTAGTTTTCGGCATGTGTCACAAAGGCTAATTATCAAAACATTCTAGAAGTTTTCTAGTTTTTCTCTTTAATCAACGCATTTCGGGAATGCATATGTTCAATAAGTTCTACATATTATTAACCAGTAAATAGGTGTTTACTTTGACTAGTCATAATTTTAAGTGATATAGGGAGATTGAGTTTAGTTACACTGTCTTTACATTTGACATGAATAAATACATTTAAGGAACTTATTAAATTTTTTTTTGTTTACTTTTTGTCTTTGTCTAAATTATAAATGTATCTATTTTATAGAGCATTGGTGGTAGCTCAGTGGTATGGCAATGATCTTCCGATGCTCAACGTCTCAGGTTCGAATCCCGGCTCATGGCAGAAAATATATTTGTTCAGCAGCCGTGGGGCGACTTTGCGGTCGGAAAATCCACCTTGAGCACAACCAGCCTCTATAAAGTGGGCATCCTTAATTAAATAATTAAGGAAAAAAACCTGGCTGTTGAGCGTGATCTCAGTCAAATCACTTCCTTGTACAACCATTGACTAAGAAACATAGCTCTCCCTAAATAGTACTGAACCCAAGACCCTTCATGGGTTGTAGTAGCAGTCGTACAGGACATTCAATAAAGAATAAAGAATTATGATATTGATTATTTAATAGTTGACAGTTGAATAAAGGAAGAAGATGGTCTGAGATGGCGGTCATAAATAGGTTAAATAGTGGAAAAAATATTTTTATTAAAAGCCAACATTTCGAACCGACTTTGCAGGTCTTCTTCAGGGCTAGAACCGACAAGATACAAAAAGATAGAGAATTGTGGAAGTTACATAATATTTAGGCAAAAAATTATAAACGATGTAAATAAGCGTATATGTATATGTATATATTTATAATTTAATTTTTCATAGATTTGGTACTTTTCCATTGTATCCATTCATATTTTCAAATTTTAGATACTGTAATTTTCTAGGCTTTTATCCATTACTCAAACAAGTCAGCTTCTCCTATAGCTGTCCTTACCCTGGTTTTCCAGTTCTAAGTGAAACTCCTAGCTGAAGACACCTGTAAGTCTGTAATTTTATTCTTCCAATTTTATTTACTTATTTATATAATTTTTGGTTTTTCTTTTCTTTCTCCACATTCCTTTATGTCTATTATTTCATATTATATCCTTTTTCCTTTTCTTTTCAATCTCTCCTGTAGATCTCTAGAAGTATATTCACATTTGCATTTATTATTTTTAATAAATGCAAAAATTTAACAATTTTTAGCATCTATTTACTTCAGTTTAGGATCTTGTTACTTAGCTTACTCTGTTCATATTTTGATGTACTTTCTTTTTTTAATTTAATAAGCTTATTCACATTGTTTATAATTATTTGTCTAAATATTATGTAACTTCCACAATTCTCTATCTTTTTGTAACTTGTCCGTTCTAGCCCTGAAGAAGACCCGCAAAGTCGGGTCGAAACGTTGCCTTTCAATAAAAATAGTTTTACCACTATTTAGCCTATTTATGACCGCCACTCCGGACCATCTCCTTCCTAAATAAAAAATGATCTTGGAAATTACTTTTAATCCTACACCACAAGCCAGTAGCGGATCCGAGATTTAATTTAATTGAGCTTGGTTATTTTTATTAATTTATATTAGTTGGCCATTGGTAAATTAATTAATAGTTAGCCATTCGTTAGTTACTTAATAGTAACGAGAAGATAAGATTCCGCTTTCGGAACCATGAGATAATATTAAATAAATAATCACGTGTGTTGCTGCTCCACACAACGACAGAGACGCGACAGCCCTCGAGAGGACAGGAACCCCCAAGGGAGCGGGGTCAATACACCCCGAGCAGCCGAGGGAATGCCCGCATTAAAGGGCTCTCGCATCACCTGCCCTATCTCCTCTCCTTCTGCTCAACTACCAACATTATCTTAACCGGCTCCAGGTATTTTCGATCTGCTGGGAACATAAAGGGTGTCGATAAAGCAAAAATAGAAAAAAAAAAAAAGTACAAAAACCCATTAATTCCTAATTTTTTTCCAACAAGACTTATCTAGCCCTGGAGACATAGCCCAAAAATGGACATCATTGTAGGCGAAGGTTTGAAAGAAAGGTTATGTTATTCTAAGTAAAATAAAAACTTTCTGGCAACTTTTAAAAATGGCAACCGATTGAAAGAAATATGAATAACTTGAGAATCGAAAAAACAAATATATTACGAAAAATATTGGAAAACCTTTTATTCTGGTTTATTATTTTCAATAATCAACCATTGTGATCGATCGAAAAAATTAAAAACTTAACCCCTCCCCTCAAAATTTGAGGTTTCACGTTTCAGGATGAAAATTTTTTTAGTCCGTCCGCCGTCCGTGCATTTTCTCCGAAACTACTGGACCGATTTTTTTTTTTAAATTTGGATATAAAATCCGAGGTCACCCGAGGATGATCCTCCTTCATTGACATTATTTTCCGTCTGTTATTTTCAAAATGGCGGCCGAAAAACCTGCGCTGCTACAGACTGTGGCTTCTAAACGAATGCACCGACTTCAATGAAACTTCGGTAAAGTCATTTTCTTGACGCCCTTCAAATTTATCTATATAACATACTTCAACGAAAAGAAGCTGGGAAAAAAGTTACGAGGGATGGTAAAATTTAATTCTGAATAACTCAAAAAGTTAACACTTTTTTGTCGATATTGTAATGGTTTACGGTATATCCTAAAAAAAAAAAAAAAAAATCGTTAAAATCGGCCAATTCTGAGCAAAGATATGGTCTCCAGTTTTTTTTTTTTAAATGTTCTACTCCAAATGTTATATCCTTTTTTTGGTTTTTAAATTTTGAATGTGTTACTGTAGTAATGCTATTTTTTTTTAGCATATTACTAATGATTAAAAAAAAAGTTTAGTCCAATAATTGGAATCACCTTTTATTTATTTTTCTTTGTAACTAGGAAGGTAATGTTACTTTAGATGTATAGTTGTTTGGAAATAATAAACCATTGTGAAATAATTTGCAGCGT